CAGCGTACGCACATACACATTCTGATTTATGACAAAGCCCAATTAGTGCACAACTTCTCGTCGACAATAATCAAAGTAATGCCATCTCCCTTGCACGCCTTATCACTGAGTTGTTTTGGATTCAGTCTCAAGTCTTTTCTATTCATGCTATCAGCAGCAGTTCAGCTACACCGACTGGCAGTCTCTAAGCCCAAGTCAAAGCAAGCACACACTGTTCTCCTCTACAAACAAACACACACATACGCACACACACATCGACATGTTGCCTAAAGGCTGGATATTCCTGGTAGCTGGTCTGCTCTGGCTGGATGGCTGTCCTTCAAGCCAAGCAGATGTGGCCAAGCTCGTTTGCTACTACGATGCGTCGAGCTTTGTGCGTGAAGGTGAGCAAGAGCTAATCTTTGTATGCCAAATGGCCGGGTGAAACGGGGGGTTATCTCTTCTATTTCATGTGTACATCACATATACATATAGACATATTTATCACATATATACATAGCTTCATGTTTTTGTTATGCTTACAGGTCCCGCACAACTTTCGCTGCAGGAACTGGAGCCCGCTTTAGGCTTTTGCAACTACCTGATTTATGGCTATGCCGGCATCGATGCGGAGAGCTTTAAGATCAAGAGTTTGAATCCCGAGCTCAGCTATAATCGCCAGCATTATAGTCAAATTACGGCATTGCGCCGGAAGCATCCACATTTGCGTATATTGCTCTCTGTGGGCGGTGGGCGTGATGTGAATGCTGAGGGAGTGGCGGATAGCGTTAAATATCTGAGCCTACTGGAGCAGCCGGAGCATCGCAACAGCTTCAAGGCCAGCGTTCGAGAGGAGCTGTCGAACTATGGCTTCGATGGCTTGGACTTGGCCTGGCAGTTCCCGCTGCTAAAGCCCAAGCGGCAGCAGGGCGCCTTGAAGCGTGCCTGGACCTCGTTTAAGGGCTGGTTCAGCAGCAACTCCATTGATCCCAAGGCCGAGGAGCACAAGGCGCAGTTCGCCTCCTTTGTCAGGGAGCTGCGACTGGAGCTGCAGCGCAACGGTAAACTGTTGACGCTCAGCATGCTGCCACATGTGGATGCAGAGCGTAAGTACCAAATGGAATACCATCTGAAAACCCTCCTCATTCTCTGCTGCAGTCTTCATAGATGTACCATCGGTGCTCAGCTTTGTGGACTTTGTCAATTTGGGCACCTACGATTTCCAGACCCCGCAACGGGATCCCAAGCAAGCGGATCTGCCGGCTCCGCTGTATGACATGTACGATCGCGATGCCAGGCACAATGTTAACCAGCAGGTGCAGTATTGGCTCAATCACACGGCCAATGCGCAGCAGCTGAACATCGGCATTACGACCTACGGACGTTCGTGGAAAATGTCGCGCGATTCGGGCATCACTGGATTCCCGCCAATTGCCGATACGGAGGGACCAGCTCCCGGTGGCAGGCAGACGAATCAGCCCGGCTTGCTAAGCTGGCCAGAGATTTGTGATCTCTTGCAGCGTCATCTCGGCCAGGGCAAGGATACGAGTGCTGACCATCTGCGCAAGGTGGGCGATCCCACGAAGCGTTTCGGCATCTATGCCTATCGAGCGACTGACGACAATGGCGAGAACGGCATCTGGGTGGGCTACGAGGATCCCACCACGGCGGCGATAAAGGCTGATTTCGTCCGAGCTCAGGGCTTGGGCGGTGTGGCCCTCCACGATCTGTCCCTAGATGATTTCAGAGGCCAATGTGCGGGCGAAAAGTTTCCCATACTTAGAAGCATTAAATATAAATTGTGAGTGGCTCAGAAATAAAGGAGATTCTATAAAATATAAAATGTAAAATATAAAATATAAAATATAAAGATATAAAATATAAAATATGAAATATAAAATATAGAATATACATGTTATTCTATATTCTCATGTTAACTAAATCCAAATATGGCTTACAACAACTAAGCGGCTTTTCGCCCATAAAAAATGTATTTTATGGGAATAGTGTTTCGCTTCTATCGAAGCTTTTCCATTTAAGCCGCTTTTCATGGAAAGTCCTTAGCATCCAAACATGCAAAAAAAAAAAAGGTAAAAATAAGGTGGAAAACCAATTCAATTGAAATAGAGAGAGGGAGAGAGAGACACAGATACATAGGGACACAGAGTGAGTGAGATATTTCAAAGAGCGCCTAAAAGCATGCTACAATAAATTGATACAGCCAGCGAAGCAAAAAAGGAAAAAGTCGCAACAAAGTTCGTTCGTACAAGGGAAATGCAAAAAAGTAAAAAAAAAAAATGAACACGTCGCATTAAGCGCAAACGAATCTGGCCAAGCAGAAAGCTTGACAACAAACCCAACATCCAGGTGGCCGCTGTGGGTGGCGGGTGGAGGGCGTGGCCGGCAGCGAGACGAATGTCCAAAGTAAAAGTTGAAATTAAACCAATTAGTTTGCCTGCGTCAACCCGGTCTGGCCTCGCACTCCTTGCCAAGACGAAGGGACAACGGCCGGTGGGCGTGGCAAGGCTAAGGCAGCGGCAGCATTGCTCAGCCAGGCATTTAGGCAGGCAGCCCGCCCGGCCCGCACACCTGACGCTGCCAGCCCGAACTCCAAACTTCCGACACGCGACACCCGACGTGTCCCGGCGTGTCCCGGAGTTCCGAGTCCTAGCTGACGGCGTCATAAATTAATTATGATTTAACAACTTCAGCATGCACGACACGGCAAAAACTTTGCGCTTTTCAAGCGTCTCCTGTTTTTTGTAATAAAAAAAAAAGGGTACGATATTTTGTTTTTATTTTTTTTTCAAATTTTAATGAGCGCAAAAAGTTAAGAAAAGTTTCTCAAAAAGCTGAATTAATAGGAGCGAAGCAAGGATGAAATTTGAGAAATATATTCAAATCCTTTCCTAAATTAAGCACAACACAAAGTATCATAAGCTGCGGTGCGTTCGTTTCAGTGGTTATTTACTTCAGTGGCTGCCTGCCCGCACCGCTCTTGATCTCCTCGAAGGCCTTGAGCCAGAGCTTGTCGAACTGCTTGGGCAGCTTGGCGCGCACCATCTCAGCCATTCGGCGGGCGCCCCGCTGATTCGCCTCCTCGTAGTACGGTAAGTGGGAGATTCGTGTCAGCCAGTCGCTCAATTTGGGATACTTGGCAGCATCCACGGGCGCATAGCTCAGGTGCAGAGTGCTGAGCGTTGCGACGATGCTGAAGTCCGCTATGGTCAGCAGTTGTCCGGCCAAATAGTTGCGCCCGTCCAGAAACTGTTCGAGCAGATCGTAGGCCTTGTGCAGCTGCTCTATTAGGACGTTTGGCAGTTCCGTCACCTCCTCCTGGAAGATCAGGTGCTGCAGCTGCTTGAAGAGCACAAACAAAATGCCCGAATCGAAGTGCAATCGTTGATCCACCAAGGCACGCTTCAGCGGATCGCGCGGATACAGGGCATCGGTGAAGGCATATTTGCCAACCAGATAGCCCATGATGGCATGCGAGTCCCAGATGCACGCATCGTTATCCTGCAGCACCGGCACCGTACGCTGCGGATTCTTGCGCACAAAATGCGGCTCCAAGTGCTGCCCGGCAAGCAGATCCACGTGCCGGAACTCGTGCTCCAGCTCCAGGGCGCGCAACGTGAGCAGCACAGCGCGCACACCCGGACTCAATTCAGTGCCAAACAGGACGAGCACCATGATGCGGATTGTGAATATACGTATATATGGATAGATATCTAGTATATCGACTAGACTATATCTAGTCGAACTGCCCAGCAGCTACTGCGCCGGCTGAGTTTCTGCTGCCACCCAGACAGCTGCCATCAGGCAGTGCATGATTTAAGTCAGTAGATAAGATAAGATAATACCAACAACTAATTATTCGAAAGACGAACAAAAATAATCTAAAGACGTCATAATGCTGCAAGTTTAAGTCGTTTTATTTTCATTACACATTTCTTATTTAGTGTTTTTTGTTAATTCTTAGTACTTAGACCTTATCTCTTACCTCAATGTTTACCCAAGTGTCAGTGGGCTAAAACTAAATTTATCTGATGTACATAAGTATATACACACATACATATATATTTACATACATATGCCATTTATTCTATATCAATTGCATATATAATATACATTCACATGAAGCCCGTGAGCAAATCACATAAAAGATTCAAATTGTGGGGAACAGTTTGCGTGTGGCTGAAATGCATAAATTATTTAAATTAATCGAAATGAAATAGCTGTAAAATCAATTTTAATAGCCATAGATACCCAGTAATTTAGCAGCAGCAGCTGCAGGTGCGTTTGGTTTCACATTTCCTTATTAGAGATTAGTTCTTTAAATAAATATGTATAAATATTTACAAATTTTTAACATATTAAAAATATTCAAGAATAAATTAAGCCATAATTAATATTTTAAAATATATTTTTAATAGTAATTTAATAATAATAATTAATTTAGCAATATAATAATTAATAATAATAACAATCATAATTTTTTAGCAATCATTTATATCTTTTATATTTATATTTATATCTTTGAAATTTGCACATGTTTTATAAATGAAAAATAATTTATTATTTATAATTTTTTAATATTTTTTTAGTTTTTTTACTATGCTATAATATAATTATAAAGTTCTTAAAATATTTATAAATATTATTTCTTATTTGTTCATATTTTATTAAACAGTATTTTAATCTGCTTCATTGTTAAAATTTAGCCTAATTAGTATCGAAACAACAAAAGCACTTTTACATAATTTGATATACTATCTCAAAAAGAGTCGCCCCCTAATATAAGGTATATGGGACTGGGTGCATATTTAACTATCGTTTGTATTTCATCGTGCTGAGTTTGTTGAACTAATGGCACAGCTCTTCCTCTTACAGCTGGTTAAATACACCGACCACCTACGTGGCCCTCGACGCAGACCACATTTCCCAAGCTCCCCACCACTATATAAGGTCCTGTCGACTAGGACCTGGCAGTTAGTCACCTTCTATCAATCAACGCGGAAGTATGGTTAAACTTTTAATCTATGGCTTGGAGGCAAGTCCGCCCACGCGCTCCTGTTTGCTAACACTCAAGGCGCTGGAGTTGCCCTTCGAACTGGTGCACGTTAATTTGCTAAATGGAGAGCATTTGACACCCGAGTTTCTGGAAAAGAACCCACAGCACACTGTGCCGATGCTAGAGGACGACGAAGGCTGCATTTGGGACTCGCATGCTATAATGACATATCTTGTGGGTAAATATGGAAAGGACGATGCACTGTATCCACTGGATCACCATCAGCGCGCCATCGTGGACCAGCGGTTGCATTTCGATTCGGGTCTCATGTTCACCGGCGCCTTGCGCCCGATAACAAGAGGTATTCTAATGCTCGGAGAAACTGTCATCGAACAGTCTAGAATCGAAGCCGTTGCTGAAATCTATGATCTGGTGGAGCTATTTTTGGGTGATAACGATTTTGTGGCTGGCAACGAGCTGACCTTAGCTGACTTTAGCTTTGTGTCGTCAATCAGCTGTCTGTGGATCTATCTGCCAATAGATGCAGCTAAATATCCCAGAATCTCGGCCTGGGTGCAACGTATGAAAGAACTGCCCTACTACGAGGAGGCCAATGGCATAGGCGCGACTCAACTGGAAACAATACTTAAATCGAAAAATTTCACAATTGCAGCTTAGAATTCATTTTATTTGAATAGATTACGAAATTAATACACATACTATGTTAATTAGCTTGCACAATGCATTTGAAGAGCACCTTATAGGTGCATTCTCTTTATTGTGAAATATTTGTTTACCGAAATGCCATGGAAAGTGCACAGTCATAACAAGTCAGCGTATTGAAGAGAGTGCGATCACAGTTAGAATACCAATATCTAAACACAAAGAGCGAGAACCAACAACTATCCGGCATATGCACATATGAGAGATTAAGTGAGAGCGCTAGAACAGCTGACGAGCTTTTAGCAAACTGTGATTTCTAAAAAAAACCGAAGAGAGCATAGGCTACACAAAGTTCAATAAGCAAACATCTAAGCACCACACATGCATACTCTCTTTAAATTCAATGTATTTACGTTTACATTCAAATAAAATAAACAGTAATTAACTTTACGCCTCCTTATTTTCCCCCTCTTCCCTCTTCATATATGTAATTAATAAAAATTGCATTAGCATTTATTTTTAACGGCGTTAGAAATCAATGCAAACATACTCAATTAACTTGTGTATGTATGTATGCATGTATGTATGCGTGAGGGCTTGCGTGCAGTAACAGCAGCGATTAGGAGAGTTAAAAAGTTAAAGAGCGTGGGAAGTTAACAGCAGTTACGTTCACTCTGAACACGTATGGGAATTTGACGAACATGTTCGACTCTCTTCAGGGTCGGGTGCATATAAAAGCCACGACATCCACCCATTGGCCGGTCAGTTATCATTCAGACGCCAAACGCAATACACAAATAAATTATAAATATGGTGAAGCCTATTCTCTATGGTATCGATGCCAGTCCGCCAGTGCGTGCCGTCAAATTGACGCTGGCTGCGCTGCAGCTGCCCTACGACTACAAAATTGTCAATTTGATGAATAAGGAGCAGCATTCGGAGGAATATCTGAAGAAGAATCCACAGCATACGGTGCCACTATTGGAGGATGGCGATGCAAACATAGCCGACTCGCATGCCATAATGGCGTATCTGGTGAGCAAATACGGCAAGGATGACTCACTATATCCCAAGGATCTGGTGAAACGCGCTCTCGTCGATAATCGCATGTACTTCGAGTCGGGCGTCGTATTCGCCAATGCCCTGCGCAGTCTAGCCAAAATGATTCTGTTCCTCGGCAAGACGGAGGTGCCGCAGGAGCGCATTGATGCGATTACCGAGGCATACGATTTCGTCGAAGCTTTCTTCAAGGATCAGACCTATGTAGCCGGCAATCAGCTGACCATTGCCGATTTCAGTCTCATCTCATCTATCAGCTCTCTGGTTGCCTTCGTGCCAGTCGACGCCGCCAAATATCCCAAGCTGAGCGCTTGGATCAAGCGATTGGAACAGTTGCCCTATTATGCAGAAAATAGCACAGGTGCACAGCAATTTGTCGCTGCTGTCAAAAGTAAGCCATTCACAGTAGTTGGCTAAGTGTTATCAGTTCTCTCATTAGCTCTTTTGTAATAAATGTTTTGTTTTATCTAATCATCGATAATCTTTGCTGTTTATGTTTTTATCAAAAAAGCCCACTGCGCAGGGAACTGGAAAAGAAAGTAAGAGCAACGGGGAGGGAAATATGAAGAGCGAGAGAGAGAAATTGCCAATTTGTTTAGATTATTTTTCGCTCACTTCTTTTATTTTGCTATTGGAATTTGGCATATTTTTTGGAAGGCAATTCCTCTCTTTGTTTGAATATCAAATCATAACAAAATACCATAAATAATTTTGCTTGCTCTTTGGGCTCTTTATGGAAATTTGTGAAAAGAGACAGCTGACTCTCTAATGATATTAAAATAGTATGTATTTAGTTGTTGCGTGCTTTGCTTTGTCACATGATTCGTTTTTCTTATAATTATGATTTTTGACAACATTGAGCAAAATTTCCTCTTAGGCTGCTAGTAATAGTTCAGTTTGCAAACCGGCAACATGGTTAATCTGACGCTCTACGGATTGGATCCCAGTCCGCCAACGCGTGCCGTCAAAATGACGCTGGCTGCCCTACAATTAGCCTATAAATATGTTAATGTTAATGTGCTCAAGGCAGAACAGCATTCACCAGCTTATCTACAAAAGAACCCACAGCACACGGTACCCATGCTGGAGGATGGGCCAGTTCGTTTCTGGGACTCGCACGCCATAATGGCTTACCTGGTGCGTAAATATGCCAAGGATGATTCACTGTATCCCAAGGATTTCTACAAGCGTGCATTGGTGGATCAACGACTGCACTTTGAGTCGGGCGTGGTGTTTGCTCATGCTCTGATAAGCATAACGCGAATGGTTCTCTTCCTAGGCCAGACAAAGGTGCCCAAAGAGCGCATTCAGGCAATTGTCGAAACTTACGATTTTGTGGAAGCCTTTCTCAAGGATCAGGAATATATTGCCGGCGATCAGCTGACCATTGCAGACTTTAGTCTCATCTCCTCCATAAGCTCAATGGTTGCATACGTCGAAATCGATCCCGTTAAATATCCCAAACTGAGAGCTTGGATGCGTCGCATGGAACAGCTGCCAGTTTATGCAGAGAATTCGGTAGGAGCGCGTCTCTTTATAGCTTCAGTGAAGAAGGCAAAGTTCACAGTGGCCGAATGAGAGAAGAGCAGAGAGCAGAGAGATAACTGTAAGTGGCAATTCTATTTTCAATGTGAAATAAACAGAACGCACGTCCACTCAACATGGCTCTCTTTATTGAACAGAAAGCTGAGGTAAGCATGATTAGCAATATTCTCTTATGATGTTAGTTTTGGTCATTAATAAGGTTTAGTGAATTTTTTACTCAGCTTAAATACTTTGTTTACGTGCACAAATGATTAGGGGAGCTTATGACAAATTTTAAGCATTTGGGATACGTTTTAAGCCCTCAAAGTCTTATACACAGTTGCATACATAGTTTTTCTTTAACTTTCTAGCCAATACTCTTATACGTATCTGTATATAAATTATTCGCATAAATATATGTAAGTGTTATACGAACCATGACCATTTCAGTTCGAATGCCCCAAACACGTGTCTCACTTACCTAGCACACGTAGTGTTATCAGTTTATCGCACCTGCATATCTATTGTTTGATAAGATTTCCAGCTTTGAGTGCCATAAAAAGGTCTTCCAAGAATCGTAAGGAAATGCTGAACATTATAAATTTTTATTGTTTCTATTATACATATAAGTGAAGATAATGCCAAATAGTTTATAATATTTATAAAATTAAAAACCTAAAGTCTAATAGAAAAATTTTATACTGAAAGATTTTTATTTTTCCAGTGAAAATTGGATATTTATGGGCTATATTTAGCTAGTAACAAAAGCTTTATATCATATTCAGCTAGTAGTTAGTTATAGCCATTTGACGTATCACTTTAATATATTGACATCTATGCATGCTTATTGGTCAAGCCTCTTTGATTAATGTATTGTCAGTTGCTACAGCTGCTAAGCTCTGTTCGTATGTATAACATATAGTATAGCTATATAATCAGTACAAGCAAGTGGAATACATTTAGATAGTAATTAAAACGACAAGCGATTACAGCTCAAAGTGACAGACAGGGAGAAAGAGATAGTGAGAGAGAGACAGGTGATGAGCTTCTATTGAACTATAGCAAAAGAATCGAGGAAGATTTATTTAGTTGAACTATAGCATTAAAGGCTTTCAGACGTCTCCAGCTTAAGTATAGAAATGGGCAAATTGGTATTGTACGGTGTGGAAGCAAGTCCTCCGGTGCGTGCTTGCAAGATGACCCTGCATGCTCTCGGTCTGCAATACGAGTACAAGCTGGTCAATATCCTGGCTGGCGATCAGCTCAACAAGGAGTACACTCTGAAGAATCCACAGCATACGGTGCCCATGCTGGAGGACGATGGTAAATGCATCTGGGACTCGCATGCTATAATGGCTTATCTGGTGCGCAAATACGGCAAGGAAGATTCGTTGTATCCCAAGGATTACTATAAGCGAGCTGTGGTGGATCAACGGCTACATTTCGAGTCGGGCGTTGTCTTCCAAGGTTGCATAAGAAATATTGCTGCGCCGATCTTCTATCGCAACGGGACAGAGGTGCCGCGGTATATGATCGATGGCATCTTTGATATGTACGATTTCCTCGAGGCTTTTCTGGGCAATCAGGACTATTTGTGCGGCTCGACCTTGACCTTGGCTGACTTCAGTTGCATCTCATCGGTGGCCAGCCTGTTGGGCCTCGCACCCATCGAATCGAAACGTTATCCGAAACTTAGCGCATGGATAGCGCGCATGGAACAGCTGCCCGATTATCAGTCGAACAATGGCAATGGCGCACAAATGTTAATTGATCTGTTTACCGCTAAGATCAAAAAGATCGTTTAGAGAGAGAGATTTTAAATGACATAAACACCAATGACATAATTCAATCATCTGATAGAGAATCTACGTATGTGCCAATTTATATAATAAAGTAAATATATTTGTGTTAAAGGTTTTGCATATATAAATATATATATTAACGATTTAAATTTTAAGTTTTCACATTTCTTTCCAATACATATGAAAACAATTACATAACCGTACATCTTGTTTATTGTCATAATTTTGAATAATTGGAAACAAATTCATTATCACATTTAACAAATCAAAGAGCTTGGAACAAAGTTATTTTCTAAGGCACCTATTCGAAGTAGAAGTATATAAAAATATTTGACAATGCCCCTTTTTATGTAAACAAAAAATAGTTTAACAAATATTATTGCACAAAAGTAAGAATGCTCTACGCTAATTGCTGAGTTGTTTCTGGTTTTTTGTTTTGTTTGGAAAACAGCTTAATTAGTGACTTATACTAATTGGATATGTTGTAGTCCTGGTTTTCTAACTGCCTAACTGGATGTCTTGCGCTTCTCGAGCGCCTTCCAAACGAGTTTCATGCGCTGCACACACTCCCGATGCTGGGATTCCCACAGCAAGGTGGTGAGTCGTCCCACGGTGGCAACGCCATCATCAGAACTGCGCAGCCACTGTAGCAAGAGTTGATAAATCACCTGCAAGATATAGATAAATATAAAGATAATAACTTATATCGTATATGTACAGCATATGACTAACCTCCTTGATGTTGCCATGCATTTGATGATCAATTATTGCTTGTTCGATCTGACCCTCTGAGTGGCCCAGATCGCGCATCACCTGTTTCCAGCCCTCGCCCAGGTGAGTGGCGACCGCGTCCAGTAATCGTTCGTCTGGCTCCTGCTGTGACTGCATCATTGCCACAATGCTAACGGTTTTCCTTGGCACACCATGTCGGACTTTGACATCGGATGGCAGCGCTCCGGCCACATCCTCCGTTGTGCTTGTGCTGCCTTTACGTGAACTGCAGCCAGTTAAATTTTGATTGAAATTGTATACGGAGCCAAAATGCAAATTGCTGGCATTCGAGAAGTTCATCACCACCTGTTGCTGTGCACTGTGCACGTTCATTGTATTCATGGTATTGGTGTTACCATTCACTAGAGCACTTCCTGGTATTTGCGCCGATTGCACCACATCCATGGAATTGTAATTGGGATCGGAGAGCTCGCGCAGCACCGATTCGGTTAGATCAGCGGATGGCGTTGGCGTATTGGAGGTCAGCGATAATGCGCCGCTATTGTCGTTATCTGCCTCGCTAACTGGCAGTGCATCTGTTTCCAAACGTCCCTCCGCACTCATGTTTGTGTTGCTACTGTTACCGTTGTTTGTGTCTCTGTTGCCGCCAAAGATATTGGGCAGTAAACTCTTTAGTTTTGGCATATTTTGTGTCTGTATGCGTGTGCGTCTGTGCGTGTTTGATTGGGCTATAAATAAATTGTATTTCGGAAATGCCAAGAGAACGGGTATTTTCCAAGACACAAAAAAAAATATATAACTCGCTCTCCTCTTTTCTTTTTTGTCTTTGTTGTGTGAATGGCAACAAGTTGAACGGGCGTTGCTATATTTGTTATCGATAGTTGTGTATGGTAAATCACCCACAATAGCGCTCGACTGGCAGCACAAATTTCTTTTAACCGCAGCGTTGCCACTGCGGAAAACGCCATGTGGCAGCACGCCTGCATTTTGCCACGTTCGCTCAGTTGCTCATTCATTCACTTTACTTGGAGTTGATATCCGCTTCGTGTGCGTATTGCAGTTCTAAGTGGAAAGTTTTTAACTAAAAATAGTTTAACTGTTTTTAAAAAATTCACTAAAGTGCCAACAAGAAACTGTGCGCGCCTTATTAAGCAATTGCAATGCTACAAGTTTAAAAAAATGTGCTTAAATTTACGTTTTGTGTGGGTCGAAGGAAGGCGGCGGCGGCGACGACGACTAGAGAGAAAATTTAGGCCGCGGCTGCCGCAACGTGGAAACTTCTTGCTTGCATTTTACAAAAATGAATTGAAGTCAAATGCCCACGATCGAGTGCACATGCGGAAATAGTTAAATATACGAACGTTTCAAATCATGCATATTCAAATAAAAAACAACGTGTTTTTTAATAGTATTATCACAACCGTACGGGCCTGTCTGTCGCTGCCAGCGTCGCCGCTGCTGCTGCCGTCGTTGTCGTCGTCGTCGTACATCGTGCATGCACACAGTTGAAGACACAAAAGTCAGAGCCATATTTCGTTGTCCGCTGCGGCGGTAGCGGTGGAGGCGGAGACTTCACGCATACACCAATAAAATTAAGCACACACACATACAGTGTTATGTATATGTGTATGTAAGTGTGCCTATGTCCGATTGATGGCAGCGGGAGCAGCAGCAGCAACAGCAGACATAGTCGGCGGCATTTATGCTTGTGGTAGTGCGCGCGTGCCTCTGTATTGTGTGTGTGTGAGTGTGTGTCGGTGTGTGAGAGCATAAGCTATACGATTTTTGAACTTTTAGTATTCCGTCTTTCACATACATACATTACATTCGACTAAAATGACCAAACTTTGCGGTCGCTCTGCCACACGCTCAAACAAGTTGAAACCTTAACAGATGAAGAGACCTTTCACCCACTTCAAGTGGCAGCAGTCGCTCTCACAGCAGAATATTTACTACTACTACGCACTAAGCGTGCTCCTTTACTCTTTAGCTTCCGCCTACACACACACACAGAGACTAATAAGCATACGCACACATATTTTATGCTCCACTTTTTATGCACTCAACTGCAGTAAGAGCAACAAAAACAACAACAATAATAATTGTCCAATAAGTGGCCCGCATGTTTATGCATAAAGGTCGCCGTCAGCTTTTGCCATAGGGCAGCGTTCACTCACTCTCTCTCTCCACCTACCTCCCGCTTTTCCTGTACACTCTCTCGCCCGCTCTCTTGAATTTATGCACATTTGTGTTAATAAACACGGGGCAGAGGCTTGCCAACGCTGCCATATGCTCCACCAATTGCAATTGCATTGCATTGCAGAGCAGCGCATTTGGGGCGGCAGCACGAAAACATGTTTTTCCTTTTGTTTTGTGTGTGGTTTTTTTTTTTTTCTAATTTGAAATTGATGCATTGTGCCATCTTTATTGCTTTCTGCTGTTTAACATGTTTTGATTCACATTAGATTAAATAATTAAAATTCTTGTACATGTTCATTGTGTATTTTGCAGCTGGAGACACGCCAAGTTGATCAAACTGGATTTTGTTAAAGGACAAATATAGGCCGGATTTTTTGGATTTTACAGTACAGTAAGTTGAACA